ATGTATTACAGGGTCTCACCATGCAGTTTGCACTCGCAGTGATCCTTCTGCTTTCAGCCTCCCCAGCGCTGAATTACAGGTGTGGGCCACCATGTCCAGACTTGTTGGCTGGCTCCGTGTACCTGGGGGCTGGGCCAGCTCTGCATGTGGTGACAGGGATTGAACCCTAGTCCCTGTGCTTGCCTAAGCAGGTGCTTAGTTCACTGAGCTATCTCCCCGGCCCTACACAGTTTTTATCTTTAAAATAGCATTCATTCATTCATTCATTCATTCATTCATTCATTCATTCACAGTACAGGGGCTTGCTATGCAGCTTTATTTTTTATTTTAATTTTATTGAGAAACAAATATGAATGAAACATTTTCAAAGCTGATTAATAGGACAGTTTCAATAATCAATACATCGTACATTGTTATCTTCTTAGTGGTTATCCATAGTACAAGAAGCAGACAGATTATCCTGTCCAAACACTATTAGTACACCTCTTTCTTCTCATTGAATTAAGCGAAAGTAGCTGTATATCTACGCTATTTTGTATATATAAATACAAAATGATCTTTCCTTTGTATCACCTTTTTTTTGTTTAGTCCTGTCAGAGGTGGATATTCTACTGGCATCTAAATAATACAGGTGTTTGAATTCAGCAAAACAATCCAACACTGTCCAGCAGTCTATAATATTAGTGGTTATCCTCAGAAGTTATTGATTTGAGCCTTTTACAGTTCATTGCATTAATATGGCTTTACTTTATATACCTCGTTTTTATACTTTTCTGCTAGATGGTTAAGACCAAGATAAAGCAAGACCTATATAACAAGAAATGTAACTTTTATATCTGATAAGGTCAGACAAGTACCCTCAGGATTTATCCTGTAGCCCTGTACCGTACTTCGTAGATCCTTTGTCAGTGTCAGCCATGAGGATGAGTCATGGCCATTGCTTGACCAATTTGCTCTCTGTGAAAGTCTGAGAGAATTTTTTCTCTCCATGTGACTCTCATATATCCATATTATTAAATCTGAGTTGGCCAGTTCTTTTTTTTTTGTTGTGGTAAGAACACCTACTCATTAAGTCCTAACATCCCCTCCTCTAGGAGGGCTTTTTTTTTTTTTCTTTTTTTTTTTTGATAGGTCTTACTATGCAGCTCAGACTGGGTTCTAATTCATAGCAATCTTCCTGCCTCAGTCTCCTGAGAACTAGGATTATAGGCATGCGGCACCCTTGCTAGAAGGGCCATTCTGATGTGTACAACAAATGGCAAGTCAAATTCCACAGGGTTTAATGTTCATCAATGATAGCATAAGTTATGTAATTTTGTGCATGGCTTGTTTCTCACCACTATGAATTTGTACTATTTTAAGGATTCCTGGCCTAAATATGACTGTGGTACTTCTTGTCTCAACAGGGCAAAGCCTACCTGCTGGATGTTGGCATTGTTGGGCCCATTAATACAATCTTCTAGCTCAGACAGACGGCTGGTTTTAGCCAATGCGAAAATAAGTTCAGTTTCTATGCAGGACTCACGGCCCTTTCTCCGGGCCATTTGCAGGTATTTTACTAGATCTTCCCAGTTGTCTAAAAGCAAAAACCAAAGACAAGTTATCCCAGAAATGATCATTTTAAACTGGGGCTCAGTTCCTTCTGTTCTGTCCTCAGCGAGATATGTTTATCATCCTGGTTATGTATGATAGGCATCTCAGGCTCCAGGAAAAGCCTACAAGGTTTTAGCTTTTCCCAGTAAACAAACCTCTATCAAGGAGGGAGATGGGGAAGTGGCAGGACCACATGTAAGTCACTTCTGGGGATAGGAGTCTCCTTGTCCCCAAGGAAAGACTTCAGTAGATACTGGGATACTTATTTTAGCCCTTGGAGAGGACAGTGTCACAATTAATTAGATATATCAGAATACCCCCAGGAAATTGGGGATGAATCACTGACTGATCTTAGAATTATTGTAAGTGTAGTTATCTATGTATCTAAACTGTCTAATCTTATTTTTTTCCTAATCTTATTTTAAAAAAGGGCAATAGTCAACTGGAATGAAAAGCTAGTACCATTAACAGAGTAATATTTATCTTGGAAAACTTTTACTTACTGCTTTCTGTGATTTCTCTGGATGTAAAATACACTGAGATTCCTGGGAATCTCGCCAACATCTTGCTTTGGCCATGAGAAGAGGGTATTTACTTACTGTTCCTGTTGGCTGCCTGAACCACCTCCAGGTAAGAGGCAGGGTCATCCGCCCTGATGTAGGAGTCAATGGCTTCCTTTACTAACTCCTTTTGAAGTTGTGCTTGGGCCAGCTGACTCCATACAGCGGGATCATTGCACATTTCAGCAAACTCATATGCACGATCTAGGTTTCCAATGTGCTCAATCAAGACCTACAGTCAGAGAAGGGCTTGAATTGTTCACAATACCTAGTCAGCTCCAAGGAGCAAATGTTTTATTCAGTTCTTCAATCTGCCTAAAGTTACACGATAACTTTAATTCAGTGCAAATCAACTGGACACTAAGTATTTCTTAGATGAATGAATTAACAGAGACAAGAACCATTGTATGGGGAAAGTGGTTCCAGACAGAGAAGAGATGAACAAAGGCATAAAGAAAATGCTGTGAAGGTGTCAAGACACTCAGATCATCCATCACCCTTAGTGGTGACAAAGGCCTCCAGGGGGCATGTGCAGTGTAGCACAGGATGGTAGGGCCCAACAAGACTGCCTACAACACCCACCTGAATTGCTGACACATTGACATCAAATTTGCGGAAGATGGTGAAGGCTTCCTCATACAGTGCACTGCTGATGGCAATGCTCGCAATGTCAGGTGCATCATAGTTGTCCAGGCGGCTGATGTACTCCATGACCCGTGTGTGATCTGCCTTGATAGCAGTCAGAATCAGCAGATTTTGGAGATTTCTGTGGAGATGGGGTGATTATGACGGTGTCTAGGAATGAATGCTGCACACATCAGGTAGCCCAAAACATACTTTTTTTTTTTTTAAGGTATTGAGAATTGAACCTAAGTCCTTCAAACTGCACTATATTTTCTGTCCCTTTTTATTATTAATGTATTGGTTGTTACAGGGTCTTACTATGCAGTTCACACTTGTGTGATCCTCTTGCTTTTAGCCTCCTCAGGATTGGGATTACAGGCGTGTCCACTATGCCCAGACTCTGGCCAGCGCAGCCTGCCTTGGGGGTGGGGCTGGCATGGCATGTAGTGCTGGGGATTGAACTGTGGTCCCTGTGCTTGCCTAAGCTTGCCTTAGTCTGCTGAGCTATCTTGTCAGCCCTACCCTTTTTATTTTGAGACAGGGTCATGTTAAGTCACTGAATTGCCTACTTTACTTGCCTTAGCTTCTCAGAGTACTAAAGAAAATTAATTACCTGTAGGTATGAGGAAAAGTAATTAATGTACATATACATGACTGCTAAGTAGACACAACAGAGTATTTGTAATATATGTGCATCCTAAAGAGAAAAATATGGCCAAGTCTCAGGGAAGTACTGCTAAGAGAATCAGAACAAAGCCAATTACTGGGAAGGCTGCTCTGGCTTCCCAGCAGCCCAGTAACCCAACTCAGAGGTACTCTGAAATCCTGTATAGTTTTGCCATATAAACTATACTCCAAAGGAATATAATAGGGGGCTGGGGAGATAGCTCAGTAGAATAAACGCTTGCCTGGCAAGTGCAAGGGCCTGAGTTCAATCCCCTGTTCCACAAAAAAAAAAAAAA